AACTTTCCGCAGTGTGAGGGCAACGGTTTGTAGGTACTTATGCAAACCTATCCCTGTCTCTGAGCACGGACGGTATGGTTATCTTGAGTGTGGGGGGTTCTTCCCGGAACCTCAATTGAGTCAAGGGTGTCGCCACCTCTGGTGGATAGGTTCATCCGGGTGGGTCCCACTTCTATACCTGCCTCCTTTTGGGAAACCCTGATGGCCTGGCAGTGATGTTGGGTCTGACGGGCAAACGAAGTAGATCGGGTGCTGGGTCCGAGCCCGCCAGGGGTATCTGGGGATCTATCGCTCTGGATATCTCTGGTTCCCAGCAATGGGTCAGGCCTCGATCGGGCAGCGGTGTAAATGGGAGGTTGGGGTTCCCCCCGTCAGCGTGCTGATGGTCCCCTTCCTCCTGGCTATTGATGGCGGGTTCTGCCTGTCAGGGATTAGATAGGTCCCGAGTGTTGCTTGCACTAAATGCGTCGGGGCGCTCTACTATGGACCTCTAGGTTCCGACCTAGTGGAACCCAGGTGGAGTGACGCTTAAACAAGCAGCCGGAATCCCTGGTTAGGATTGAGGGGCAACCCTCTTTCCGAAGGGTCTGCTTCGGCAGCCGGCGAGCCTGATGACCTTAAGTCATCCGCCCATGATGTGCTAAAGGTTGATGCGTAAGCTTCGGCCTACATCATGGGGCCCGGGTATGTCCTGTAGGATAGGTACCGGGTAAGCAGTCAGGGGGCTTCGGCTCTCATGACAACAAATAATAATAAATAATAATAATAATAATAATATGTATATATATATATATATATATATAGACTTATATATATATACGTCCGTGAACGCGATAACTTGAGTAATTTTTGTCCGATTTTGATGAAATTTGGTTTAAAAGTGTAAAGCGGGATAAACTTGAATGAGTTCGCGAACCAGCATGATCGGACCATGGGAACGGGGCTTTACGGGGGGTTTTATGGGGTAAAAATTGGTTTTTCTCACTTTTGACCCTCAAAACACAAAATTTCCCAATTTCTCTTTAGACCTTTTTAAAGAGCTTAAAAAAACAATTAATTTAGTATATAAAAGTATTTTTGTTCGGTTAATAGTAACGGAGAAAATTTAAAAAATTTTTAATTTATAATTCCCATGTTATTCTTATGGAGATTATTGTAAAATATTGTAGTTTGCTTGTTTATGGATATATTTTGTATTTTGATCAAATTTATTTATTTTGTACTAAGCTATCAATATTTTACAAAAAAACACACTTTATTAGTTTCCTTGTAGCAGCAAACCTAGGTACTCGTTAAACTTAATGTTATTAAAATATATTTAATTGAAAATCAATTAAGACAAATGGAAATTCGCTTAGTCGGCAGGTTTGCTGCGGCGGGGGTATTTTATATAAAAATCCCCAAACAAACCATCATTTAACTACACAATTAATAGTTATTATTCTTGTTCCAAACCATGCTTTATTCCAATAAACATATCTTAAATTCATCCCAATTAAAAAAGAAAAATATACAATATTTAACTATGTTATGATGTACTTTTTAGTTAACAAAAAGAAACATGAAAACATTTCAATGTTCGCAAAAGTTTTATTTTTTACACTTCACAAAGTACTGTTAAAGGCTCAGAGTGCTATAAATTCACATAACCGTCTCATGCAGAAACTAAGCGGACCGTATCGAGTCGTACTCTGGAAAGTTTGAAAGGCAATATTATAAACTAGTTGAACTTTATGCATCTCATGTAGTATTACATGGTATCCATCTAGAATTTGTAAGTATAAATTTAACTTGGAGTATTAATATCTTGGTAAATGTAAACGTCTATGTGTAATATTATTTTAGTAGGGAACACCTGGAAATGTTTAAATTATTGTTTTAGGCTATATCAATTATGATATGGGTTTACTTTCTGTGTCTTTCAATAGTGTTTTCATTTTTTACTTTGTGTGTATTTTCTGCCATTGAAATGTAATTAACGGTAGGAAACTGTCTAAATCTTGTGAAGCAAAATTTTTGACGGACTAATTGCATGATAATTTAAACTGTTGGTGTTGAAATATTAATTAGTAAATAACTTCAAACCACATTGAATGTGTGGAGCATGTGTTTAAAATACCAAATCTTTCTAGCTTTAATTTTTAAATAGCATTAAAAACACAATACTAGTGTTTAGTAGCGATTGTTCGTTCGTTCGTTTTGTGAGGATTATATGGGAGTTCAGAGAAAACCTAGATTGTAAGCAAATGAGAAAAGAATTTAACAAATAAACGAGATTTTTATTTTTGATGTTAGTCCTTAATAACCTTTATAATATTTAATGTAAACATTTCCTTTATCAATATTTGATCTGCTTCCCTTCTCTCAATATCCCACGTTATACCTCGAGGGTCACTCAAATGTTTTGATAGGTGGATGGAAATTTAAAACACTCCCAAGCTTAGGGGGATTTGGTTACCTTGGATAGGCTTGGTTACCTACAAACACCAAACAATATTTTCATATTTTTTTTTCTTTTCCTAAAACAATAAATATTATCTTTGAGGTATTGCAAGTCAATTCATCCATATCTAAACTGATACTATTACTAGTAAATTAAAACCTAACTTTATACTATGAAACAATAATGACCCGATAGCATTGGTAAAAAATGGAGTTGACTTTTGGTTCCATTGAACATTGCTTAATTTGATGCTCCTACGTAATAAAAGTAAGTTTTTGGCATGCCACCTCTTGAATTTTATATGTCCTGCCTAGGGAGCTAGGTTCTAGCCGGGAACTGTTTTAAACATAAACTTCATGCTAGTCCTAGGATCACGGCATTATCACAAAGATAAAATCCATCGGTTGTTTGCGGGATTTGAACCAACATCTGTGCGTACATTGGGGCACACCAAAAGCACATATTTAGGATGAAGTACCTAATGGACCTTTGATTAAATGTCCATGGTATAGGCATACTGGTAAGTAATTTTACAAAACAATGTACCATGAAACACATCTTCAGCATGTAAGAAAAGTAGAAAGGGTTCGAGAATAGGACATACTTGTTTGTAGTCCTGAGAAATAAACCCCCATTTATTTACGTCTTTTGTTGCTATTTGTTTTTAATATATGTTACACGTACTACCCCGCCAAGACAATGGTTAATTCAAATGAATACATTCATCGACAAAGGTGAATTGATTATTTTCATTGTTACTGTAGTGAAATGCTTAACGATTAAATGCCGCTAATATCCTTGACTCTAGTGGATTCTTTTCACTAGAGGGAGGAAAATTATTTGAAGCAATATTTTTTTTGAAAAAGTTAATAATAGAATCAGCTTGAGTCAAGAAACTAGTCTGCTAATTTTGATGATAAAAACAGTCCCGATTAATAAGAGTATTAGCGTATCGTTGTTGGTAACACAAACTTATATTTGTTGTGTAAACACAAAATAATTAATTTTGTATTTATTATTTATCCGTACAGTACATTTTACCATTGCCATTTAGAACATGTAAAAATATACCAGCAATTTCAGGTTGTATTTATTATTGTGTTCGCGGGGTAACATTTGTGTCCTGATTATGGTAACTGTTCTTCACATAATTGCATAAAAATATTTAAGCCATTTGGGAGTTATTTTATCAAGTTAAACACTGCATGAAGCCTTAATTTATCAAATTACGTCCAAATAGCTTTAATAATAAAGCTGTTAAAAATATTTTTTATTACACGGGAAAATGTTTTTACGACCCTCTGTCAAATAGAGCTAGTGTCGAAAAGAGTGTCAGTACTTGGTAAATTAATAAAATATTTACAAATTTACCAAACTGTATGAAATTATAAAAAATAATAATTTGAAAAGGTATTGATAAACACGTTTATATGACTCTAATTTTGATTAAAATAATTTTATATCTTAGTTCTCTATGAACAGTCAGAAACTGAAACGACATAATTCTATAAAAATCTATGAAAATGATTTACGATAATAATTACGGATTGATTTTAGATTTTGGTCCCTTATCAACAAGTTATAAAACGTGGACAAAAGCGACCTGATTTATTTCATAATGCAAACGCACAACAAGTATCGCGAATACGTGAAAGTTCATTGCTTAAGTTCGCGTTCAATGCTTCCTTTCAAATCGGTAATGAACAACCGAATTGGTTTTCGTGAATAGGAACGGTTTTCATTGATCTGATGAGAAAATATTAGACCCAGGTGGTATTTTGAAGAGTTTAAGTATTCATTTTCTTACTACAATGCATTTTTGATATAGATGTAGCTTCTGGTGATTAAGTTTGTATATTCTATATCTTATAACTGCAAATAAATATGATTTTGACTTTACTCGTGCTAACCCAATAGTTTTTAAACATATGTACCAAATTATTAAATAAATCTTTAAGTAAAGGAATGACAGTTAAAGCAAGTACAAGTAGGAGTAGGATTAGTTTTTTATTTATTTATTTATTCATACGGTAAACACCTTTTTACAATCAAAAATACATAAGTGGCAAGTTACAAGATAAATATTTATAAATATATATATATAAGTCAGATTCTGATTCATCTTGCTAGACAATAAAAAGATTGGTAACATGAAAAATGACATATGAACAGGATTGTACCAAAAATGCGTTGACAAAGATTGGATCATACCATTGACTATTGGATACAGAAGAAGACATCCCATCTATATGGATCAGCCGTCGCCAATCTTTTACTAAAAAAGAATGTAGTTGCGTGAGCCAGTCACAGATTGCGCTGGTTTCTAAAACTCTATTTTGTACCTTATTTTTTGTTACTGACATAGTTGCTGGGTCACAACAGTTGCTATAGCACATAATAAGTCCTTCCACAGTTTGACTTGGTAAAACCCCTTGTGTAATTGGCAGAAATCAGCGCAGAAGTCAAGCGATGTGGGTTGATATAAGATAATATAAATAAGAGTTATATTGTATTCACCATCTAAGGATTACTAACTTATATTATTTTTCTGTTTCAGACCAACACTTTTAACCGTAATGCTCCTCCGATATTCTATGTGCTAAAGAGGTACGTCAAAACTCCATTTAGATGCTGATTTTATTCTCAACGTTACAAATTATTATCATGAATACCATATAAATAATAAAAATAAATAAAAATGCCTTTTATTAGTATTATTACCATATTGCTATTCAAACAAAACACCTTTAGACAAAATAGATCAGTTACTTAAGATACGCAATTCACGTTTGGTAAAAACTTATTATAATAGTCGTGCTCAAAAACCTATGAATGTTTGCATAAAATATCCCTTGTTCTTAAGAAACTTACACCAAAGTTTTACTCATTCAATATATAATTTTCTAATATAACTTAAATTCAATTTGAACTATTGTATAAACTAAAAAACCTAGAGACAAATCACATAATTTTAGTAGATTGATGCCAATTTTAAATAGACCTTTTTAACCTGTTTCAGTGTAATTTAATATAATCCAGACTTCAAAATATAGAAAGGAAGTCCAACTCCATAATGAAAAAATCCCTCCCCCAAAAATAAAACTGTGTTATTCCGTTAAAAGATAATGTGTGTGAAAACTATTTGGCATACATTTTAAAGGATATAAAACTCATGTAAGGTTAATAAGATTTTATCATGTGCTGTTAAATATTACCTGATCACTTTTAAAATCGTAATTAAAGAGTGGAGTGAGTCGTCTAATTTTGTGAAAGCCCTCTTTGCCTGAGAGGCATTTTACTTTTTCTAGATATGTGAATATATAGCTTAACGTGACACCAAATCACCATGTTATATAAAAGCAGTATTTTTTTGTCCTCCGGAATTGTTTTTCACATTACTTCAAGCTAGACCTAGGTATAGGGGTTGCGGCATTATCACATGGATAAAATCCATTGGTGATTTGGCGGGATTTGAATCCGGGACCTCTGGAACCGTAGTCCAGCGCTCTAACCACTAGACCAGATCGCTCCCCCGTTAAAATTATAATTAACTAAAATCACCTTACACACAACACATATTTTGACTGATTATAAAGATTTCCAATGATAACTTGGTTACAAACACACCAACGTGTAAAACTACATCAGCTATTCGACTAGTTTGGTCTACATGAACACAGATTCATTGTTCACCAAATTCATTGTTGTGATGTTTGCCTTAGGTCGATGCATCACACATTGGACATTGGCTTGTACACTCACCCTTTTGATTGATAGTTTCTATTTAAGAGTGTGCCGTCTCTTCTTTATTAAGATTGATGTCCTTTCATGATCAAGAAAATGTGTAGGCCTATATTTTCCTACTTACTTTGTTACTTACAATAAAAGGAAAATGTCAAAATTTTTTAGGTCGAAAAACTTTGTTGACTTTTGAACATAAATTGAAGAAAATAATCCTACACGAAAGTGCTTCTACCCTAAAAAGCAGAGTGGGTCAACAACTCTAAGATGACAATGTGATAGACAAACAACCCGAACTGCCAAACAAGCTGGACTGACAAAAAGTTTAACATGTTCTTGACTTTAGCAGTATCCCCATGGTACTGAATATCCTGAGATGTCAATGGCAATAATTCCACTACGAAATGTTTACTTAAAATCTGTTTACACTCGAATCAAATATACATATCGATATGCTTGGATTTAATTCACTCCTTGTGGAAATTCATAGTTTCTGACACTGAAAACATTTTTAACTATAATGATACAATAAAAGGCAGTTTAAACAAAGTATATACTTGATTTAACTTAATGTATAGTAGTTTAAAAATAAACAAAAGTGTAAACAGCATCAATATTGTTTAACAAAGCAAAACTTGTTATAATTTCCATAAGAGAAAATATCAAAACAATAAAACTTAAAATGTTTGCATTTTGTTAATAACGAATAATTTACTCTTTCGAAAACTACATGTTATTTAAATATTCTGTACATTAAGACTACTAAAATAGTTTCATTTGCATGCAACCATTCTATATAGTAACAATATACGAAGTATGACTGAAATCAACGCATAATTTAAAAAGGTTTATTAGTTACAATTCAAAATCTATCAATCTATCATTTTAGCTTATAAATGTTAGAAAATATTAATGTACGTATAAGAAATAACAGACTATCCTTTTTTGGTCATATTAAACTCTACAACGCACATTTAGAAATTCAGGACATGACCACAGCAGCTGATAATACTCTAATAGTAACTTTGTCATACCTTTTTTACAGACTTAACAAATAACATTCCAAATATAAACCAGAGCTAACAGTTGCATACTAATAGATCATTTAAAAGGAACAATTGACATAGATATTTAATATTACTCTATAACAATATTATTGGATTCGTAAATATTGTATAGTTTATTTTAATTTTCAATATCGGTATGTGATCCTGATCGGTCAAAGTGCGTAGGCCTACTTGTGATTTAAATATACAATAATTGCTCTGGTATTTATTATAAATCGAACTATTTCAAACTAAATTATGACCATAACCATACATTTAAAAAAAAGTTTCCCACACAAATTATATTATAAATCGTGTTAGAATCGACATATTTCCAAAGTTACACGACGGTCGGGCGCCCCGATGTCCGGGATTGAACAGTTTGTCACAGCCGATGAGTTTGAAAGGCAATTTCGTTTGAGTTGTTTGTGATCATCAAAAGACAGGACACCCTTACAGCGGATACTCATGTTCCCTCATGTAGGTCACTTGGTAAGGCATTCCTGAACAGTTTATATTGTAGGTGATGTACATATTGTTCTATCTTATCGTGTAGTGTATTGTACGTGTAAATGACGTCAGAACATACGTTTACACCGTGACTGAAAGTGAACTGAGTAACATTTTTCGTGTACTATAGAGAAACCTTTTGTAAATTAGGGTTAAATATTACAAAATATGAAGATGCACATTTTATTGTAAAATTTAATTTTTAGAGTAAAACCGTGGCCACAGATTACAATTTTACATGGTTAAAATGAATTTATTTCTATCGTACACATTACCTTTTTAACAAAGCCAAATTGAGCCAAGGACAACTTTTTAAAGCATAACATATTCTATGTTTTTTCAACCCATTTAAAAAATGAGGTAGGGAAACAATATGACAGAACTCTGTGAAAGGCTCTTTAAACTGCGGCTTTTTTAGTTGATTATTGGCTACAGCTGGTCCGTATGGATGTCAAATTCATAATGATTTACTTGACGGTCTATGATTATATTTATCAGCTATACATTCGTCCAAATTAGATTTGTCTAACTTTGAAGCTTGTCTAACTTTAATAATGATGACAATATTTCACAAAAACCATAAATAATAATGTTAGAGGGACCACAATTTTTATTAAACAACTGACTTTGTGGACATCTTTCTAACCCTACCTAATTTAATCCAACTTTAAAAAGCAATTTTTTACCTTAAATTTAATTTTTGAAGTATTTAAACAAGCAATACTGTATTAAAAGAAAAAAAAATAACAGCCAAAATAAATTATATGGATAGGGCAAGGCAAACATTTACTCTAAATAACAATTTGTAGGAGAAAACGTAGATTCAATTGTTGTAACAATACCCTACTGAAATTTATAGCAGTATTAAGGAGGCATTTTCAGACTAAGTCGAGCCGGGTAAGAATGAGGCTTTTACTTTACTAACTACTTAACTAATTAAATGCCACTGCAGATTTAAAGTTTTATCCTTACTTAACGTTATTCGTCTTTTACCACGCAACCGTTTAATCTTTGTCGTCAAAGTGTATAAGTAGTTTTTTGTAATTCCTATGGAATAAAATATGATGATAATTATTACAAAATTTTATAAAGAGCTTTTATTAGTACGCAATGATAAAAGTGCATAATTTTTAACTTGAGAAATCAGTCTAGTTCGTTTACAGGGTGTATCTGATCAATTCAATTGCAGAGTAAATACCGAAACCTTATGTAAAAAGAAATGTCATCAACATTTTCTTAGTTTATGAATTATTTAAATACATTTCTTCGCCGTTGGTTTTTGTTTGAGATATTTTTCTTTGGGACGATGCAAACACCTTGGCACTTTCTAACACTAACCTATGTATAGAGAGCACCAGAATTGATGGTTCAATGACAAAATGGGAACTGAGCCTAATATACATATATTGGTAATTCTGGTCAATCATTGGTCCGTAAGGACGAGGTGTCCAAATTGCAATCCCTTAATTGCTTGAGCTATTGAAACATCATGTTGTAATTGCACATTATAAATACGAACGTTTAACTGAAATAACTTTGCATAAAACTCGTCTCTTATGAAATTACACACCATTGTTGTCTCAATAAACAACAATATTGTGCTACTGAGTATTTCCAAAACATCGTTCATTTTATGGATGAAAGGGAAAACACGATATTTAAAATTAGTTTCGAACAAGATTTCAAACAACTCCAAGATGTAACTAGAATTACTCGAATTTAAGCATAACGTTTTGCTTGGCGTTATGTTTCATACTATGCGGCTCATTTGGCCGCACGGGTTCTCTAGAATAATCTAATTGTTGTATTGAATTGGTGGCATTGTAGTATTGAATTTATGGAATTTTCATAAATTCCTAAACAATTATTCATGGACAAATACATGAGTAATTCTAACACTACTGTGGTAGGAACGTTAAATAGTTAAGTTTGGAGGGAAGATATTGGAGGCAAGGCTTTGGAAGGCCAGTTCGACCTCAAAGTACACAGCAAACCACCTATTGTTGCCCTGTTTGTTAGCCTTCGATTCATCAAACATTGCCCGTTTTGAGTAATGGCTTCCATTTTAGCATCTAGCTAGTTTCATCACTTGGTGCAAACATTACATTTTAATTTTAATTACAGTTTGTTACTATCAGTGTTTTGGCCTACCTTTATACAAAGTTACCTTTTAAGAGCGTTGGCAGAGAAGAGTTTTCACAATTTATTTATTTTAAAAGTTTCACACTATTAGATAAGGACTGGTATGTAGAAAATATTTTTTAAATAAATAAACGATAATATCTTCTTGGAAATGCCGCAAGTAATTTA